TCAAAGTGCCCGTGAGAAGATGATATTGTTGAGCACTATATTAGACACAGCCTCTCCTCTTTATGTCGTAGATGTATTAGTGACTCCGTCGAGTGTCGTTGTCCACTGATTTTCTGCGTTTAGGAAGAGCGTAAACGCATTTATTATTTTAGAAAAACTCATTTGATTCAATGTTCTGAAAACTATTATGTATAGGAAAATATAAAAGTTGTCTATTTTTAAGTGAAGAATATAGGTACGTGTTCAGTTTTTATAAAATATCCTTCATTAAAACAATATTGTTAAAATTACCACATTAGTGTATCATTTTTCTTTATCACGCTTTGCAACCATTTTATTTTCTCGTATATCTATATTTTGATTTTCCGTTTTTATTGTAAGCCTAAATTAACGTGAATTTTCATGAATAATATTTCTTTCAAAAATTATACATCACGATTAAGCATTATACACCAATTTTATTGAAAATATACTGAAAAGTATTTGGAACTAGCTAAGAATTATTTATCCCATATTAGTGTCCTCATTAGTAATAATGAAATTCTTTAAACAGTTGATTGAAGCATAAAAGCTCTTGACATTACGACTCATATACTGTAAACATTAATGTAAACAAATCATACCATACAAAATTATGAAGTAAAAATAATGTTTTTTATCTTGGAGGTCGTTATGAAATCTGGATCAAAAACATTTTAATTATTACATTCTTAGCATGTCAATTAATCCTTAATTGTAAATTTATTATCAGTTCCAACATTTTAGCTTTAAATAGGAATCCTCCAGCTTTTTTTTTATATCGTTACCAGTTTCAGTTTTCCATCCTTTGAGATTGTACTGCGTTCCATGTCCTCCTCGCAACTTTTTCAGGAACAATACATTATCTTCTGGCATGCTTGAGAAGGAAAACTTTTTTCTTAATTTCCCCGAGGCTGTACCTTCAATGATGATGTTAAAAACTATGAATGGTTTTTGCTGGCTACAGACCTTGAAAATGTTTCTGATACCAAGAAAATATAATCGTTAACCGTTTCTTTCGATAATTTCATTAATGTAAAAATTATGTGGAACAATTTGTTAAGATGAAAACGTAAACGTGACAACCGTATCATCAAAGTATTAAAACGTTACAGTATTGCCTACATTTTGAGGAAACAATTTCTGCTAAACAATCACGAAGAATGGAACTGGCATTAAGTTATTGATGTACCTGGCTTCATTGTCATTGTTGCGGAAATCCCGTAGATTTCAGCCGTTGAAAGTTAGAGAGGATGGAATTGGGAGCCTATTTACGTGCAAACGTAGCAGCTTCTCCAGTGGTTCGAGAACTAAAAACAATTGGTGTCTTTACTACGACGAATGAGCATTTGACAGAGACTCAGTGGTTTCTAAAATGTCTAATAGTTATGGTTTTCTCGAAATGGCGTTTTAATGCAGTAGAAGAAGATTAAATAAAACAATTTCATTCCTATTTTATTAACTTGTTCAATAGAACGTGTGTGGGATAAATGTTAATTTTGTTTGGTCTTGAAACGAATGCAGTACTTTATTCAATAAAACATTATTATACTGCATATACTTATTTAAATTCATATTTTCACAGATACAGAAGAAGAATTCAAATGTTAATGAAAGTATACCTTATCTTCTACATTGTACAACAATCTTTAAATGCGAAGATAGTAAAATAATCGTAGTTGAAGAAGAACATCGTTCCCTTACCATCTTTCCAAACTACGAACATTAAATTCATCCTACCACTTTGATTATCTATTTGCAATGTTAACGCCACGAAATACGTGAAATCTAAACCCTGCTCCGAACGCAGGATTCAAAGTTTAAAACCGTTTCAGCGTGTTCGTTGACCCGTTTCACCGAAACTCTCGCATTCGTTGCACGCGGGACAGCAAAGATTAATGCAAAAAACGTCCGGCTAGGCGTGAGAGAGATTACAGCGAGTTAAACGTAACATTAAATAGCTTTTATTCCCCGGTTTTATTCCGCGCCGTAAACATCCGCCGGTTTAGCGAAGCCGAGACTTATCGCGTAGGTGTTGCATCTTCTCCGAGCATCGGCACATTTTCTTGCCATAAAAAGGTGTGACTACATTGCAGCATGGGCACTGGAAGTTAACAACGTCGTGTACACTCGTGAAACGGCCCTTCTTATTTCTCCAGGGACGTTTGTCCGACGGGCGAAAGATTTTTCTTTTCGCGCCTCGAACAGTTTCTTCTTCCCATCCGCTGCGGGCACTGTTCTCACGGACTCGACCGGGCGCTTTCCTTTCAACGCCACCGTGTATCGATTTCATGGCGAATCGGTCTTCGTGATCGGAATTCAATCAGTTTCTTGCACTTCATTCGCCCGATAAATGAATCCCCATCGAGCACTGGTTAAATTTTTAGAATGTAATACTTCTCGCGATGCCTTCCAGCGGTTCGTCGTTGTCAGCTACGAAATGGTTATTTCCGTTCGGAGTGAAATACAGTATCGTGTTGGGTGGTAGAAATATAATTACAACATAGGGCACACTTTAGATGAAATATATTTAGCAACCTTTCATCGTTCGTTTCGAGTTTCGAACAGTTTTTGTTGATCACTTTCGATATGATTCAGCTGGGAGAGGAGAATTGAGTTGCTGAAAATAGAATTATAATGACACTAAGGAAGTGTAGTTTGAAATGTGAAACATGTAACTACGCTAATTAATTGATCATTTAATTTATTTTCGTTTTAGTAAAATCATGAAAAATTTTTATTTTTAATATTTTCTTTGCTGCTTCAGTACCTTTAAACTCTTGTTTCCAATAGTGACATAATAGTACTCGATCTCAACATTTTCCATTATTTTACTAAAACGAAAAAAATTGAACGATTAATAAATTAGTGTTGCTAATAATTAAATATGAAAGAGCTTTTCAAAAACTATAAAATGATGTAACACTTGTATATAAAATAATGTTAATGACTTCAAAAAATTGCACAAACTGTAACAACGTAGAAAACACACGAACTATTGGTTCACTCTAATATTAACATATCTGAACAGGACCTATGAGTACGTTTTTATCATTTGTTCAGAATCTTAAACAATTGTTTTTGTGTTAGTTCTGACCGTATCTACCTTGTATCATCTTGAACCAAATTAAGTATCACGTATTGAACAAGTTTACTCTAATACTTCTAGATTAGGTAATTAAAAATAACTATATACTTATACTACAGGCTATAAAACATTCTAAAAGCTGTCTTTCTATATTACTCTTTACAGAATGAATTTCTTATCCATCTGCAAGTAAGAATTAAAAAATAACTAGAATTCAAAGTTAAATTGCAAAAATAACTATTTTTCAAAGACAAGCAAAAAAAGTCACAGTTCATTTTACTGGTTTAAAGACGACTGTATATTAAATCCCAATAAGACAGCAAGGTTTGTATTCACTACTTACATATCATTTCAAGTCGCATTGAAAATTAAATTTCCATAAATAAATTCGTTAAAAAATAAAACCCCATGCTGAAAGTGTTACGTATCAACTTATCAATCTATCCGGTTAACATTCGCCAATCTCCGTTATTGTGACATGGAATGTCGTTACACCAGCATCGATGTTTGAATACCGTTCCATGAAAACCTAACAGTGTTTCGCGATACATCTCGCGTGTCGTAGCAACAGCCAATCAAATTTATCGTCGGTACAATAGGATCCGTAATGGAGGTCCGCTTGTTTGCAGATCGGGTCGTGTTTGTCCGTTCATCAAGTGTAGCAGAAAACTTTCCCCGTAAAATGGGGACCGTGTACATAGACGTCGTCACGCTCCTGTTCTCTCGGATATGTCCGTAAGGAGTCTGCCCGCAATTCCCGGAGCGATTCATTCCACCAATGAATAACCATAACCTTGGCGGGTCCGTAGATCACTCGGCCGCTTGAAAGCATTGTAGATCATCCACTTCGTCCGAGATCCTCATATTTGGTTCTCGCTCTCAGCGACGATTTGTCTGGTTCAGCGCGATTAGACTCTAAGCACGTTCGTTGTACTCGCATCCTGCTCTTTCGACCTCATCATTTTGCTGAAGAATATGCTCCACGATGGAAAAAATAAATTATAGTGTTTTTATTACACCATTATATTACTTTATAGCATATTATTTTATTATATTACGTTATTCTATATATATTATTTGCATATACAGGTAGCCATTTCTATAGCAATCTTGTTGACAATGTACTGGAGAGTTTGAAACTGGCCAAAAACGTTTCATCTCGTATTAGATTCTTTTAACCACATTTATTCATACTAAATTCCATTGAAAATAAGCAAAATGCAACGAATTGAGAAAAATATATATAAAGTGTTTAATGTGTTGTACTTTCCATAATAATTAAATTTTTCTCCAGTAAATTAAATATTTAGGAAAATAATGAAAGCTTAAACAAAAATGAATAAACGTGGAATAATTTAGACACTTGTAGGAAATATGTGAAAAATTATAATATATAGTATATTTTTCCGAGTATAATGAATAATATCGTTAAGTGAATAAAAATAAAAGTGAATTATTTCTTCCTCAAGCAATTTGTTACATTGCCGTGATTGTGACACCACTAAACGCCATTAAATCGATAATAACATAAATAAATAAATTTCTTCCTCGTTCACTCAGCACACATTTATTGAATCCTATTCCGAGTACCAAACCTCATAGTGACATTTCTATTGTCACAATACGTGTATTCTCCTACTTTACATATACGCATTGATATACTGAAATAGACATTAAATAGTCACCTATATCTAAATAAAACGAGTTCCGAAAATAAATCTCGAATAACGTTCGTATAATGTTTTGTTCATCCTCTACACGGTAAACAGCGATATTTCAGGCGATGACTTTCGGTAATATTAGCGACGTTTCGATGGCAATTGCAATTTTATGGTAATCGATGCAAGACCATAAATCGTATTTATGGGGTGACGAGATTCTCGTTTCGTTTCAGGTGGCCTGGATGCTTTTCGACAAGAGCGCTATCCTGACGGTACAGAATCACGTTATTACCAGGAACCCCAGGATAACCGTATCGCATGATAAGCACAGGACTTGGTTCCTACATATCAAAGATGTACGCGAGGAGGACAAGGGAAGGTACATGTGCCAGATTAATACGGCAACTGCGAAAACACAATACGGCTACGTGCACGTCGTTGGTAAGTAATTTTCTTCTCTCTTCGCTTTGCTTTTAGCTCGTAACGTAATCGTACCGTTGTTTTGGAAGATGAAAGGTCCCTTAGTAGAGATGGCTCTAGAGCGACGTGACAAGTTTACGACTGATACATCGCTGACGTCGCGAAAGACGTGGACAAACGTTTTGCGATATCAGTTGAAACGAATTACATCGACTGCGCACGGTTTACACCGATTGAAGTCAGTTTATGTGCTGCAACTTTTACTCTCGGAATAAGTTTTTTGAAATATTTCACTCGATCGGGCTGGAGTTCCACGTTTGAACTTTACCGAATACTTGGCGTTTCCTACTGAATGCAGACGTCACTGATCTTACTTAAAGGAGTTATTTATGGTTAGCTTCAAGTGGCACTTGTATGCTTGTCGATACGCAGAAGAGTAATCCAGAGCTTTGCTTTGGATACTTGTAACGATGCAAATGTTCAGGACTGAGTAATGCAATGGTTAATGACTGGTAGAGTATTCGATAGAATTTTTAAACGAACAGTGTTATTAACGTATTTATTATGGACATATTCTATTTTTTTTTTGTAAATCAAACAAACATTTTTTACTTACTTTTAAATTTCGAGTGTTAATAAAATGTCAATATTCAAAAGTAGTACTATTGTATCGATTAAGTAAGCATATAATTTCGTTTGTACCTCGAGCAAACATTGTTTATTTATCAATAAGTTTCTGAGAAAAGTTCTTAGAAATTTTCATTCATAAATCAATCTTTTTTGAAACTATTAAGATACATTTTTCTCCATCTCTTACTGTACACTATTGTACGTTTCTTGTTTTAAAAACTACAACAAATAAGTTATCTTCTAAAACAATTAACATGAATGGTCTGTTGCAACCATAATAAATACAGTTGACTAAATGAAGCTTTGTGATTAGTTATGTATTAATTAAGAGTACGAACCAGAACCCAATTATTATCATTTTCTACAACATACTAAATAATGTTTTACTCGTTTAAATGATGATTTTATGTATTATTGTAATAATATATTTTTAATATAGCATTTTTCTGTAGGAATACAGTCTTAAATGATAAATCTATAGACATTCCAAGATGAAAGCAAATAACGACTGCCTAATAATGAGTTTCAATTTTTATTGAAATAATTTCGCAAATATAATGAGTCGACTTCATTTGGGTCATGTCCGTTTGCGTTATTTTCAGCGAGTTTGCTAACATCAAACGCATCCTGTATCCAGTTCTGTAACTCGCAATCTCACTTTCAATCCTTTGTGATGTAATTTTCATACGAAACAGTATAATTATCTTGCTCTCGTTTACATTCTGTTTCGCTATGTAATTAATTCCCGCACTTCTTTGCCTTTTTAATTATGTAATGGCAACGTCTGTGAAACAAATATCGTAGACAGTAAACTACAATATAGTATTCACGATAAAGAATTTTGATACTAATTGTCTGAATCGCGCCAAAGCTGTTAGATAAAAATACATAAAACAGGAAATTACGTTACTCTACTGTAATAAGAATTGTGTACATCGATTATTTTATTGATAACAATTTCAAAATAAAAGATAAATGTTTGGTCTAAGGAAAATCATTTAAAAATTTATTTATTTACTTAATTTGTTTTCGATCTGAGCTATTCCTTCCATAGAGTATTTAAAATGCAATAGCTCTATTGCAAATATTTTAGGACAAACATCAATTGTTATTGACGACGCAGAAGGGATAATATTTTCGAATACTGGTGCAAATATGAAAAATCGTATGCTCGTTTAGTAAACACTAGAAAAACAACAAAGTATGAACTGTGTTCAAAATATTTGCACGGCAGTAGATCAAAACCTCAATTAAATATGGGTTAGTACGAAGCGTAGCGATGTGGTTGAGACGTATTTTGATAAAATCGATAAATGTATGTTTGAAATTGATACTTTCGTATCAAAGCAATCTAAAGAATGTCTTCAAACAATTTCAAAACTATCGAAGTCTGCGGTTGATGTTAAATTAGGCCAACACTTTATCAGAAATTAAAAAAGTGATAACACTTGACGATTACTCTGAATGTTACAGTTAGCAAATGACTATTAAAAAATCTTGATACCATACTTTTTCGTTCAAAGCACATGATATAATGTCGGAGTTGGAAATAAAAATTCTTTCACTAAAATCTCATTAACCGTTACATGATATTGCATGAATTTTATTTTATTTTTTGAGAAGGTAATTAGTTCTTAGTTATTTATTCGCGAAATAAATAATAGTTTATTGATTGTTTGATAGTTTCGTAAAGATTCATGGTATAATGCAGTGCAGTTTCTTTAGCCAACTTTAAAGTGATTATTTTTTTTTTATCGATTACTTGTATAATAAATAGTTTATTGTTTCCGAGATCGAGTTGTACTTTCGTCTCTGTAGCTCGAGTATTCCGCACTCGTACAGCAGGTGGTAGGTTGCAATTTCCTTATCACGGCGAAATCGCGGCGAACTGGATCCGTTTTCTTTAGCAGATAGCATTTGTTCTTTCAGTTCTTCCAAATCTTAAAGTTCAAATGGTCAGCTGTTTCGAAAATATAATATTATAAACGTTGATTCTTTTTAGAAGGATGATTGATATCGTTCCTAAATCAGTGTTTGGTGCAATTTTTGTTTTGTACACGCAGTCTATGCGAGCACTGCCGAAGGGATTACGCGTAAATTGCACATTTGGCTATAATAATCAGAAACTGAGTTTCCAATACGACGTGTTCTTTTCAGAGGTTCGCTTTAGTCTCTCGTCGTGTACATTTTTCCTAGTCGATATGGTCGCTTTTGGGAATTTGATGTGGGGGTGATGGGTAGGATGGTGTCATGAAGTTGGACACTCAGGTAATTTACGTGTTGGCCCGCGAAGAACCCAATGATTCTTGCAGACCTTCGATCATCTTGTAGCCAAAAAATGGAGGTATATGTACAACTCCCCAATAAACTACTTCGGAGACCGAAGGGTAGGATGGTGTCATGGAGTTGGACACTCAGGTAATTTACGTGTTGGCCCGCGAAGAACCCAACGATTCTTGCAGGCCTTCGATCATCTTGTAGCCAAAAAATGGAGGTATATGTACAAACTTAATAAACTACTTCGGAGACCCAACGCCAATGCTCATGCTACGTGACAATTTCAATTACCCAATTTTTTCAAAGACTGTACCAAACATGTCATCCCTTAAATAATTTTCACTTCTTCCATTTTCTACAAAAATAACCGAGTTATTCATTTCATCCGCTACAAAAGTAAAAACAGTTCTCGCAATCAGTCCCAGTAAACAAGGAGTAAGAATTCATCGCGCAAGATTGTTGTTTCCGTTCATACCACCGGTAACGGAATCACGGCTGGGGAACTTCGACCTGCGACGTCCGTAAACAACGCGTGTTGCTGTCCAAGATCGTATTTCCGCCGTTGACGAGGTCTGCCGAGCTGGCCAACCAAGGGTGAAAGTATTTCGCCCTCTACAAGGCACGAGAGGACAGGGCAATAATAATTTAATCAGGGGTGGGGTATCCGTAAGTCTAGAAAGCGCAACGGGGGGTCTTCGTTCTGTCATTCGGGGCGAACATATTAATATCTCGAGTTTTGACGTCTGAAGTCGACGGAGGGAGACTCGCTGTGCTGGGATACCGAAAGGACGCCGAGGGAGGTGGGTAGGGGGTTGACGGGGAGGGGATGTTGCGGCAGTCGGAGGAGTAATCAGAGGGCTAGATTAATTGTTTCCACGGGACTCTTGGCCTAGCGTTGCACAAATACACGGAAGACTTCCGCGCGGCACTTCGTGATAATGCCGACGGAACAGACACAATGCCGTGGCCCCAGCGATAACTCGGGGTTTCTCCTCCGTCTACTCCCACATCCTACCCCCACTCCGACCACGGGGAACTGAGTATGCGAGAGAAACGTGTAACGTGTGTAAATATTCCATACGGGCTGAGTCACTTAAAGTTACCACCTGAGGCGTGTACCTTGCTCCTGAGCTAATAAACGGTTCTCGGGAGTTTGACGATTTCGACCGCCGTGCCTCGGCTGGATTCCCGTGTAAATTATCCGCCAGAATCGCGGCCGCGTCTCGATTGTTGCCGCTTGTTTACTTGCGGCGGATGCGCGCCCGAGTTAGCGTTCTCAGGAACGAGGGGATGAGCCAGTTCGATGGAGTACGTATTGCAGTGTTGGAGATCTTTTTGATTTCGGATAGATAGGGGATGAGAATAAGAAAGTTATATGTATGTTCACTTTTTTATTTTACAAATATAATGAACACTAAACCTATTTCTACCGTGATTGGATAAACGACTGGTCTTAATTTTTACGGCGTAATAATATTTCACGTGCTATTAATCTGAATGATGCATGAAGCAATTGTATATAATTAATATGTTTTTTAAGAACTGTATACGAATGCTTGAAAATGGTCGCATGGTGTTAATAGAGAGAGAAGCTTTTATGTCGTTATATAAGTTAATACGAGAGGCTTTATTATTCTAACAAATTGACGAGTTTTTATGAACACACCTGTGATGTTTTCATTATTGAAAATATCTCGCATTTTCGCATCTTTTTATTACTGTGTCTAATAAAGACTATCTATAATATTGTTATACAAATTTTATGATATGGATTATGGAAATAGATAATATAAATTGGCACTGGAAAAATGAAAATGGATATTTTCTACAAAATATTGACAAAATCCTATGAGAACATGTACAATAGTAACAGTTCCTGTCTGACCATAAACGCATTATTCTACTTAATTTCTTACTACTGTACATAGCTAACAAGTTAGGCTTCTAAATGTTATTTGACGTTTATATTTTAAATATGTATGCATTCGTACACATCCTTGTACAGTTTTGTATATTTACACTTGCCATAAATGTATAAATATCCTGAATTTAATGTTTACTAATCACACTGGTCGGTCAACTTTTCATTCCTGCATAGTTCGTACCTACTTTTG